AATCATGCATAGATATAAAGTACCATGAGCAAGCCAACTGAAGTAATAAAGAATCAGACCGACAGAGATTTGAGGCAGAGGAATTAGCATCAGAATGTAAAGTTAGATGTTTAACACGTCTGTACACAGAAGAAAATGATAAGATAAGAATGGAACAAGATACATCATGAATATCTGGGAAAAATAGAACTAACCAGAATTAGGAACTTGAACGTGTTACGGGCAACGTAGACACATACATAGGAAAAATTACTGAATGGGAAGAAATCACCAAGAATGCAGCACAGAGAGTGAGAGAAGTGGAAAAATTATTCATATGCATGGGGATTAAAATGAGAACGTTCAACAAATATCTATTTCGAGTTCTTTGAGAAGATAATAAAGGTAATAGAAGGGCACATGGGTGGCTCAGTCGGTTAAGCATCCGACTTCGGCTCAGGTCCTGATCTCAAAGGTTTGTGGATTCAAGCCCCGCAGTGCGCTCTGTGCTGACAGCTCAGAGCCTGGAGCCTGGAACCTGCTTCAGATTCTGTGTCTCCCTCTCTCTCTGCCCCTCCCCCTGCTCATGCTTTCTCTCTATCTGTCTCTCTCTCAAAAATAAATAAACATTAAAAAAAATTCTAAGGTAGCAGAGAGGCAGATAAATATACACTGAGAATTTTCCACTAGTAATCAAAAGCATGTATTCTCAGAATTAAGAAGCCCCCCAAAATCTCAAAAAGAGTAAGTCAAAGAAAATTCATATCTAAACACACTGGGTTAAATGCAGAAAATCAAAGAAAAAGAAATCTTAAAAATAGAGAAACAGAACATCAGCTATAGAGAAATTATAATAGACAACGGACTTTTCAGTAGCTCACGCGGAAGTCAGAAAATCAATGACTTCGAGTGTCGGAGACAAAAACTGCCAGCCTGGAATTATAGACAAAGAGAAACCACGTTTTAGAAAAGAGAGCAAGTAGGGCGCCTGGGTGGCTCAGTCGGTTGAGTGTCTGACTTCGGCTCAGCTCATGATCTCACGGTTCGTGGGTTGGAGCCCCGCAACGGGCTCTGTGCGGACAGCTCAGAACCTGCTTTGGATTCTGTGTCTCCCTCTCTCTCTCTGCCCCTCCCCCAAATAAAATTGAAAAAACAAATAAATAGGAGAGCAAGGAGCATGTGGGTGGCTCAGTCAGTTAAGTGTTTGGATTCTTGGTTTTGGCTCAGGTCGTGATCTCACGGTTCAGGAGACCCAGCCCCACGTCGGGCTGTGTACTGACAGCACAGAACCTGCTTGGGATTCTCTCCCTCTGTCTCTCTGTCTCTCTCTCTCTCACCCTCCCCCACTCATTGGGCTCTCCCTCTGTCTCTCCCTCAAACTAAATAAACATTAAAAAATAAATAAATAGGGGCGCCTGGCTGGCTCAGCTGCTTAAGCGGCCGACTACAGCTCAGGTCATGATCTCGAAGTCCGTGAGTTCGAGCCCCACATCGGGCTCTGTGCTGACAGCTCGGAGCCTGGAGCCTGTTTCAGATTCTGTGTCTCCCTCCCTCTGACCCTCCCCTGTTCATGCTCTGTCTCTCCCTGTCTCAAAAATAAATAAAACGTTAAAAAAAATAAATAAATAAAATAATAAATAAATAAATAAAACTGAGGGCACATTAAAAAAATAATAAATAAATAAATACGAGAGCACAGTGAAGACATTTGCAAACAAACAGAAATGGGATGAATGTGTTATCACCAACAAACCTTTACAGAAGCAATTTCTCAAAGATGCACCTGAGGAAGAAGGAAAATTATCCCAAGAGGAAGGTATTTCCCAAAAGAAGGAATGTGAAAAAAAGAAAGAAAGAAGCAAAGAAAGAAAGAAAGAGAAGAAAGAAAGGAGAAAGAAAGAAAGAAAGAAAGAAGCAAAGAAAGAAGAAGAAAGAAAGAAAAAGCAAAGAAAGAAGAAAGAAAAAGAAAGAAGAAAGAAAGAAGAAAGAAAGAAGAAAGAAGCAAAGAAAGAAAGAAGCAAAGAAAGAAAGAAAGAAGCAAAGAAAGAAAGAAGCAAAGAAAGAAAGAATGAAGCAAAGAAAGAAGAAAGAAAAAGAAAAGCAAAGAAAGAAAAGAAAGAAAAGCAAAGAAAGAAGAAAGAAAGAAAGGTGTGAATAAATCAAAACACGAAGCATTTAAAACAGTTATATTTTACATCTTGAGGAGTTTCTTTAAAAGATGTCCAAAGTACTCGACAACAGTGATATCTGTCAGCAGAAGGATGTTCAGAACGAAAGATTTTGTACTGTTGCAGAGGAGGGCAGGAATTACAGATGGGACACTGCTGGGGGGCACACACCAAGCGGGGAGCGGGGTGTAAGTCCCTCCGGCGGGGAGGTGGGTTTCATCACCTGCATTGTTCAAATTGCCGCAGCGTGACGATAACGACACGCAACAGACTTTTAATCAGTTTTGCTACAGTTTTGAAGTTCTCTGCAGACAGTTCTCCCCCTTACTGCCTGTACCTGAGGCAGCGTGAGCTTAACACACCACTGCTTTATTTAAGAGCTGCTATTTCAAGTGTAACTAGGAAAGAATTAGACGTAGATTATGCAATTATTATACAGGAGAGAGAAATAAAGCATAGCACATGGAAAAACGGTCACACGAAAGAGTTCGAGAAAGGAGGGGAAAATTGAAGAGAGTGAGGAATAGGGAAAATAGGGCGGTAAAAAATACAAATAGGTTAATTATCGCTAAATAATAACTCATGGGTTGAACTGCCAACACACAGGAAACAGGAGAAGCAGAAGAACTCATTAAGTGACGTCCAGGGATGTCACCCATAAAACACCAGAGTCTGGGAAAGGACAGGTTTCCAACAAATATAATGAAGACTGATCATGTCTTGAGAAATTCAGCAATCAATCACGATGTGTGGATCTTCTTTGAAATCTGATTCATACCCAGAAAGTAAAACTATTCTGAGACAAGCAGGGAAATTTGAGCCCTGACTAGACAATATTAAGGAATTGTTAGGGTCCACCGTTGAGTGTTCGACCCTTGATTTCGGCTCAGGTTATGATTCCTAAATTTAAATTTTTAAATGAAAAAAAGAAAATGAGCATAAAAAAAAAGAAAATTATTTTTTTAATTGTTAATTTTTTAAGTGTGATAATTGTTTGTGGTTATGCTTTTGTGCATCTTTATTTTTATTTTTTTAATGTTTATTTTTGAGAGAGAGAGAGAGAGAGAGAGCGAGCGAGTGTGAGTGGGGGAGGGGCAGAGAAGCAGGCCCCAGGGTCTGAGCTGTCAGCACAGAGCCCAACGCGGGGCTCCAACTCCTGAGCTGTGAGATCATGACCTGAGCCGAAGTCAGACACTTAACTGACTAAGCCACCAAGGTGCCCCCGTGCATCCTTATTTTTAAAGATACAAACTGAGGGGCGCCTGGGTGACTCAGTTAAGCGGCCAAGTCTTGATTTTGGCTCGGATCACGATCTCATCTCATCCCAAGAGATGGAACCCTGGGGCTCGGCTCTGACATTGCTGAGCCTGCTTGGGATCCTCTCTCTCTGTCCCTCCCCAGCTTGCAAGCGTGCCCTCTCTTGCTCGCTCTCAAAATAAATAAATATTTTTTAAAAAGATATAAACTGGGGCGCCTGGGTGGCGCAGTCGGTTAAGCGTCCGACTTCAGCCAGGTCACGATCTCGCGGTCTGTGAGTTCGAGCCCCGCGTCAGGCTCTGGGCTGATGGCTCAGAGCCTGGAGCCTGTTTCCGATTCTGTGTCTCCCTCTCTCTCTGCCCCTCCCCCATTCATGCTCTGTCTCTCTCTGTCCCAAAAATAAATAAACGTTGAAAAAAAAAAAGATATAAACAAATATTCATTACATGATATGATACTAGATTCAAATTAATCTGTGAGATGAAAAGGTAAGTGGTTGGGGCACTATGGAAGCAAGACTGGCTATGAGCTGATAATTGATGAAACCACATCACGGATTTATGGGCATTTGTATACTATTCTATCCACTTTTGTGAATGTTTATAATTTTCCAAAAATAAAAGTTAAGTGATTCCAAGCTAGACAGACCTGTAAAAAAAAAAAAAAAAAAAGAAAACGAATAAATAAAGACAATAAAAATATTTTCAGGTTAGATTCTTACAACTATGGTCTATTTACAGAAAACACATCTAAAATGGAAAGACATCTAAAGTTTGGAGTGGGGAGGGAAAATTCATATGATGCAAACAAAAATTTTAAGAGTTAATATAGTTAAATTTTTTAAAAGACAAAGCATAATTAAGTCCTCTTGATCTATATATCTAAGGAGAGTCGTTAAAAATGATCAAAAGTCGGGGCACCTGGGTGCTCAGTCGGTTGAGCATCCGATTTCAGCTCAGTTTATGATCCCACGGTTTGTGAGTTTAAGCCCGTCATCAGGCTCTCTGCTGTCAGCAGAGAGCCCACTTGGGATCCTCTGTCCCCCGCCTCTCTCTCTGCCCCTTTCTTGCTGGTTCTCTAAATAAATAAATAATTTTTTAAAAATGATTCAAGGTTAATGTATTCATTAGTAATATATCTGGGTTCTAAAATTCTACATATCTATTAATATCATTTCAATATTTTGGATAGGAACACTGTCAAGCATGTTACGGTCTAAGAAAAAAATGAACTCCCAATTTCATATACTAAATGTGAATAGAAAAAAAGGAAGAAAAACAAGAAGGAAGTCTATATAGAGTCTGTATAGATGGAGAACTTCAGAACTACGGAAACAGTTGACATTGATTGAATTCTACTATGTGGGTACTTTTCTGTGCACCCTACATGTAATAACTCATCTAATCCTCGCAACAAATGTGTAAATATGGTTATTATTGTAATTTTACAATTTGGAAAACTGAGGCAGAGAGAAGATCCATGATCTGTTTAAAATCTCACAGCTAGTAGTAAAGCATCATTACCTACCTGTAGTGTTGAGCATCCATTTTTATATCATTCATGATTTCTCTCTTTTTTTTTTTTGTCTTCTCTTAGTTTTTAATTTATGGGAGTTATTTCTCTGTTATTGCTGGAATTTTCCTAATGAGAAGCGTTTACATAATCTATTCAGCCAAATGCAGACAGGGAAGATGTAATTCTACTACCGACCAGAATCCACATGATCCAGAGGACTCCATTTCTGATACAAACACAGTGACGCAGTTTTAGCCTGGTCTCTCCTATCATGGACTCAGAAGACGGACTGTTCCTACATGGCATTTTAATTTTTTGTCCTAGATTAAGACACCGTAAAAGACAGAATTATCATCAACACTACATCAAAACCTCAGCTACGGGCCGGTGAGCAGGGTACAACCAGAAACTGGAGTTGACCAAGTTGAAACCAGCCATCTTTATGGCCTCGGTGAGCAACTGGGACCCTAAGTACTGTTTGAATACTTTGAAGTCCATCCCAAAACAACATGGAAATCAGACAAGTGGGACCATCCAAAAACAGAAACATGAAATATCCCAGAGTTAATGATATATATTAGCTTTCTGTGCCCAACCTCATAAAAGTGTGATTTGTTTTGATCTAGGTAATAAAGAAGTTTCTAGCACAGGCCTGATGCATATTAAATGATCAATACGTGATAACCGGGACTCCTGGGTGACTTGGTCAGTTAAGCATCAGACTCTTGATTTCGGCTCAGGTCATGATCTCAGGGTCATGATATCGAGCCTCGCATCAGACTCCCCACTGATGGTGCGAGATCTGCTTAGGATGCTCTCTCTCCCTCTCTCTCTCTCTCTCTCTGCCCCTCCCCCACTCACCTGGGAGCACATGCTCTCTCTCTCTCAAAAAAAAAAAAAAAATATGTGATAACCATATTGTATTCATATTGTATACTACCAAAACCGTTAGAATGGGGAAAATAATTTAATTCCCCCAAAAGGAGGCCAAAAAATTAAGGGAAGATTTTTCCTTAAACTTTACCATGACCCTACATGAAAAGACTGAATGTTGTAATGATTTCAGTTCTTCTCAAACTAATTTATAAGTTTGTTGCAATTTGTGATGGTCTTATGTGTCCACTTGACTGGGCCAAGTTTCTCATTGATTCTAATAAACACTAATGGAGGTATTGCCGTGATGTATTTTGCAGATGTGATCAAAGTTCACAATCAGTTGACTTTCAGTAAGGGAGATTATCCCAGATAATCTAGATGGGACCAATCCAATCAGTTGAAAGGCCTTAAGAGAAGAACTGAGCCTTCCTTCCCAGAAGAAGGAGAAGTTCCATCTGTGGACAGGAGCTTCGGGTCATGCCTGAGAGTTCTAGCCCACGCGTCCTGATGGCCTGCCCTATGAGTTTTGAACTTAGCCTCATCAGCCCTGACAATCAAGTAAGCCAACTCCTTGAAATACATTTCTTACTACATATCTCCACTGGTTCGGTTTCTCAGGTTGAATCCTGATTGATACAGATTTTGATACCAGGAGCGGTTGTAGAGGACACATCTACAAGGCCAACTTTTCTGAACTGCTTCTGGGTTTCCTGGAACTGGGTATCTAATCTAGTTAGGTTTTAAGCCACTATGAATCTGTTTCCAGTCATAAAGAGAGCACTAATAGTCATGGCATGATGTAGTTTTAGACATACAAGTGTCACCATTGGGCCCTCCTAATCAAATACTACATTAGTTTCCTAACGATCTTATAACAAACGGCCACAAATGGAGTGGCATTAAACAACAGGAACTTATTTTCTCAAAGTTATGAAGGCTAGAAGTCTGAAATCAAGGTGTTGGCGAGGTCATACTTGCTCTCTGAAAACTTGGTCTCGGGGAGGGTTCTTCCTTGCCTCTTCCTAGATTTTAGCAGTTGCTGGCGATTCTTAGCCTCCCTTGACTTGTAGACACATCACTCCAGTCTGTTCTTCTGGTGTCACATGATGTTCTCCCTTTGTGTCTGTGTCTCTATGTCCAAAGTCCCCTCTTAGTATAAGGAGACCAATCATGTTGGATTTAGGGTTGACCCTAATAAAGTCACATTAATAGGTTCCAGATGAGCATCAATTTTGGACGGGACAATATTCAGCCCAGTTGAAATACCTATAGGAGGTGAGGTTCTGGATTGCTGTGTATTTGTCAGTTCAGGATGTTTTACTTAACCTGAAGAGAATAATGGAATTGGCAGGCTGCTCCTGGAGCAGTACACACACACACACACACACACACACACACATACACACACACGCATATATATTCTCACTGGAGAAAATAAGGGAGAAATAAGGATGACCTCAGGGCTTCAAATTCCCAGCTCAAAGTGCTGCATTAATTATCTGAAAGCTCTAATATCATCCCTGAAACAAACGCAAATCTCCTGCAGCCACAGAGCTGAGATTTCTGATAACCAAACCCAGAGTCTCGTTCTGCAAGTGGCTGATTTACAACATAAATTGAATTCCTAACCCTGCAGGGTGTCTTCTGATAAAGTGAGGACACTCGTTGGGAATAAATGAAATCCTGAAAACTGGAATGGAGACGTATGGTCAGATCTCAATAAAGCTGGGGACACCTGACCCCTAGATCTGCCAAGTCTTTGCCCTTAGAGGCTGCCCTTCCACCCCTGCTTAACGAGGGGTCCTATAATGGCAGCTGTTTCAGCAGGCCCCAAAAGGTAAAATACAAAATGTATGGAGAAGCATTACACTCCAAAAGAGACACATGGTTCCCCCAGCTTGTATAGAAACCTAGAAATCTAGATAATATGTGTGGAAATGGACCTTAAGGATGTAGGATCATGGTAGAGGGAACATAAAGTTGGATCAAGCGGAATTTGTTGATATGGGTTGCCAGTTTGGTTGGTTAGCTGAAACATGAAGCCCACCCTAAAGAAGTTGAAATGCCAGAAGTGCCTTGGTGTGCTATAGAGGAAGGTATTCCAAAGCTTAGGCAAAGTATAATATTAGAGTGGATTTATCATGCGGACTTGTTCACCCAACATGGGAAGGTCCAGAAGACACATCTTTTTCCATAACTTTGAGAATATATTTGTGAGAGCAGCCCAGCGTTCTAGAACTCTGTGGCTGCTTTGCTCTATGGGTCAGAAATTCCAGTGGGAGCTGCTACCCATGAACTGGGGACACTCAAATACAATGGAGATGATGGGACCCCAGGGTGGCAGGAGCCACATGGAGACATTGAGTTGCTAAAGACAAGATGGGTATGGTTACCATAATGGACAATGGAGCCAAAGCAGTGGTCAGAATAGTCTACCTCATGGATACTTGTGGTGTGGGCGGGTTGGTATCCCTAGAAAAGAAGTAGATGAACAATTTACCAAATTCTTACTTGATCTGCATGAGCGAAAGTGTTCTAATGAATTTTAAGCAACTTAATATTCAAGAGCAGTCATAATGGAAAATGCTACCATTGCTTCATGATAATTTGGAGTCCAATGTTTTTTAGAGTAAAAAGCTGCCTAAAAGCTAATCCATCCAGGAGTGTCTGGAATTTAAGCCCAAGGTAAATACGCTTGAGGGTAGTAGAAAGAAATCCTTGGGCATAGGAGGCAGGAATTTTCCCAATGGAAAAGTCTTCAAAACCCTTTTCTCGGATTAGTTACCATGTCGAGACAAACAACTTCAGTTTCTACTCTGGGACTCTGTTTTTCTCTGTTGTATACTGAGTGAGCAGCCAACGTCTATCTTGCAATTCACAAATTCTCCCTTTGAGGGTGTCTTATTTTGTTGATTGAGGTTTTATTTCAACTCACGTATCTTTTTATTCCTGAGATTTTGATATCAATCTATACTTACTTTGTTTTTACCTGTATTTTCACTATAAATCCTTTTTTTTTTTAAATAGAAGTCATTCTCTTACTTATTGTGTTAAAGATCCAAAAAAAATATAATTTAAAAGACACTGTTAGTTCTACAAAGTCAATTTAATCTGAAATGAATTCATGTTGCAAACTTATTTTGTTGCCCGTTCTTAATATTAGATATTTTCAAATGTGTGTTAGTTATTCAGCATTATATAACAAGTTAACCCAACCCTTGTGGCTTAAAACACTGCACATTTATTATCTCACAGTTTCTGAGTCCCAGGAATCTGGGCACATCGTAGCTGGGTCCTCTACTTCAGGGTCTCTTATAGGCTCCAGTCAAGGTGTTGACCAGGCCGTGGTCATGTCAAGGGGGAAGGATGCTGGCTGGGCCATAATGCATTTCCAAGTTCATGTAATTGTTGGCAGGATTCAGCTCCTCGTGGCTACTGAGCTGAGAGCTTCAATTCTTTGCTGGCTGTTGACTGGAGACTGCCCTCAGTTCCTGGCCATGTGGGTCTTTCCAAGATGTCAGCTTGTTTCATCAGAGAGTGCAAGCCAACAAATCAAGGGTTGGCTTGAAGATGGAAGTCACAGACTGTTGTAACCTAATCAAGGATGTGATATCCTGTCACTTTTGTGGCATTCTCTTCACCTGTACCTAGAGCCAGCACATAATGAAGAGCAGATGATTTCACAAGAGTGTGAACACCAGGAGGCAGGGATCATTGGGCACCATGTTTGAGCCTTCCTACTACAAGGAGGTTTTGCAATTTTGCCAGCTTCCTCTAGGTGAGAGCTGTTTTGCTTCCCCTTTCATTTCTTTTGCTTTCTCTCTCCTTACCCCAACTCTTGCCTTGGCTTTTACCTGTCTAGAAGTTTTCCTAGAATATTTTCCTGCCCCACCTCCAAGCCCCATCCCATAGTGTAGTGGGATATCATAGATTGTTCTCAAGCCTGCAGATAATTTAAGACAATTTGTGACCTTGGGACGAAGTCCATATGTCTTTGATGGATACCAGTTCACAGGCCAGAGCCCCAGGTGGAAAAGAGTCATAGAATTTTTTCAAGACGAAAGGGGCCCCACCCTGGCACAAAATCCCAAAAGTTTGCCTTGCTGTCATCCCCTCTCTACATCGAATATCTGATCTCTGTGATCACATTCCTACTCTCCTCACGCCTACAGCGCGCTTCTAGACCCTGACCCCAGCAAGGTCATGAATGCAGCCTTGCAGTCAGCATTTCCATTCTATGTTTGGTCCACAGAAATAGTTCGCTTGTTTTTGAGCCTAGCTATGTGGTTCATTTATTTTATTAGAACATGTTATCTGCCATAGCTTCCCCCCTACCCTTTCGGGACAGATACATCAATGTGTGAAAATACTGGATCACCGTGATCCAAATTCTCGTCAGCCTATGGTCTCTACTGCTAATAAAACAGCTGGAAAAAGCTGTAGAAAATAATCAGAAAAAGAAAAAAGGAAAGGAAAGGACAAGGAGGGGAGAGGAGAAGAAAAGAAAGAAGAGAAGAGAAGAGAAAAGAAAGGAAAAGAAAAGGAAAGAAAATGGAAAACAGGAAGGGAAGAAAAAAGAAAAGGCAGTTTACCCTCTTGTTGTAAATGAAATTGAAGCAGTGGAAGAAAAGACTTCCTCACTCAAAGAAGCACTGAAAACCCCCTTTCCACTGGGCTTCCTTTCATCAGATCTCCTTTTCATTTATCACTTTTGCTAGAGGTAGTTCAGAAGACAGAGGTACCGGGAGAATTTACAGCTCGAATGCATGTTTCAGATTTCTGTCATTGAACGTGGCGGTGTCCTGAAAAAGGAAAGAAGAAAACCGTACACGCAAAACAGCAGAAAGAAGGGAAGGAAAAGATTGTGTCAACAAAAGAGACCCCGTGCAAAGCCCAGATGGTCTCAGGCCCACCATGAAATTCTGTATTTGAGTCCTGATGGGAATGCCCATGGAGGGTTCAATAGGCCACTAAAGGGGCATGTCCGTCCATACATCGACACAAAGGAACTGGACCTCTGGGGAGACGGCACACAGGGCTGTAAGGGAGTGAGGGGTCTGTGAGGAGGGTGAAGTTTCACTGAGGGGAGATATTGGTCCCCAGAGACCTGGCAGGGGCTTCTAGGACCACCCTTGAACGTGCTGCCACCGTTGGGCTCTTAAGACTTCCTGCAAAGATAAATTCTCTCGCAATCTTCAGCACAAACCAGGATTCCACGCGCCCAAACACAACAAAGGCAAAAAGAACACTTTTGATGGACTTCTAGTTTTTATTTTATTAGGAAATTTAGACAGGATTATGCAATGACTAAGAACACACAAGAAAAAAGGGGAAAAAACTATGCAAGAAGACGAGAAAAAGTGGGCAAAGACAGAACTGAAAGACAGTGGATAGTTCCAGCCAACCAGGTATTCGGAATCATGACTTCATTAGTAATTTGCACAATTGCTCTGGTGCTGGGCTGCATACGGATTTCTTCCATTAGGTAATTTCTCTTGGTTCGGGGACTTCTGATCGAAGGACTTAAGGCACGGAAGAGAGACAGGAAGGGAGTATTTTCAAGGCGGGGGAAGAGGAAGTCTTACCAGCTCTGCACACCGCAGCCTTAGCTGCAGCACTGCTTCTTGCAACAGCACTTCTG